ACAGAGTGGGGCGCAGAACAGGCAGGTTGATGAAGTCCACTGCTGAGGGGAGCAGCGGGGAGACTGGAGAGGTCTGCCAGCCCTGTGGGTCAGCTCCCTGGCTGGGGATTGAGCCTGTGCTGAGGCAGCTATGGCTGTGACTACAGTGTAGTGCTGCACTTGAACCCACTGTGCCACCAGGAGGGGCCTGGCACCTCTGTTTTAAGACAGTGTCATTGTTGGGAAATTATTTTCTTTGATTCTCACACCATCCTCCTTCACCCCATGATGAGGCCAGGACCCTAACTTTTCAAATGAAGACGCTGAGGCTCTACGAGTTTTTCCCAGGGCAACCCCGTGTTATATGATGACAAGTCACACAGTATTAACCATTAACCGCTTTCTAGCACCTGTCACCCCACATTCCAGACACATGTTACCTTCTTTCGTCTTCTCGCCAATTGTGATAGGTTTAGGGTGAACTTCTGAGACAAGGAGAGGTTATGTGACTTTCTCAAGGCCACAATTATGGAAGGTTCCCAGGACACTGGGGTTTTGTCCCCTCTCACCCCTGCTGAGCTCAGCCCCATGGGAGGCGTGCAGTGGTGTGGTGGACCCACCCTGGATGTACAGGTGGCGTTGCTCCCTCAGATCTCCTGTCCCCTCGCTGTTTCATTCCAGATTTGGTGAAGCTGTGAACGGCAATCTGGTGGTGGGCACGCTGGCCTGGCCATCCCCTTGGGTCATCGTCATCGGATCATTCTTCTCCACTTGTGGGGCTGGGCTGCAGAGCCTGACGGGGGCTCCCCGCCTGCTGCAGGCCATCTCCCGCGACGGCATAGTGCCCTTCCTGCAGGTCAGTGAGGCACAGGGTGAGAGAACAGCTTGCATCCTCCATCAGCTGGCCAGGTCCCTGCCGGGGAGGTGCCCAGTGAGCCAGCACAGTGCCCAGCCAGAGCTGGCTTGCTTCGTGCTGCACCAGGAAGAGGGGTGTCCGTATTTCGGGTTTGGCCCATGGTCAACCATCTCTTTGGGCAGAGTTGTCTGCTCTTAGGGGAAAGATAAATGGCCTTCCCTTGGCTGAGTGGTTGGTTGGGGAGTCAGGGGGGGACCCAAAGGGCAAGAACAGGGTGGCCCTGTCCATGGTACTGAAAAAAGATTCCTGACACACAGTCTTGGCTGCTGGCTGGCTTCCGCTAGCTGTTCTCCCTTCTGTCCCTCTGGAGCCTTCTTTCTTCTGGAGGGATCGCTTGAGGGTCCTTGCCTTTGGGTGCTCATATTAGAGTGGCACCCCCTGGGCCCTCCTTAAAGGGGGAGAAGACGGCATCACCTCCCTGCTTCTGCTGCACTGAGACTGGGGGGGGAGAGACAAGACATCCTGCAGGTCTCAGGCCCCCTGACGGATGCTCTGTCCCCAGGTCTTTGGCCATGGCAAAGCCAATGGCGAGCCCACGTGGGCCTTGCTCCTGACCGCCTGCATCTGCGAGATCGGCATCCTCATCGCATCCCTTGACGAGGTGGCTCCCATCCTCTCCATGTGCGTCCTGGCCTCCTGCCTCCTGTCACCTCTGGGCGTCTCTACCCGGTCCTGCACTGTGACTCTGGACAGCCCACCCCCACCTCAGTCACGGAAGCCCAGCTTTTGTTTTATGGGAGCTCATCCCCACACACAGTGTATTTGGGGAGATGTGACCTTTGAACCCTACCCTAAGCGCCAGAATGTGGTTCAGCCCCCACCCCAGTTTCTCTTCCTCTTCCCTCCATAGCTCCTGTCCTCACCTGCTTCTCTACCTGCCTCCCTCGCATCTCGGTCTCGGCACCTTTCTGTGTTCTAGGTTCTTCCTGATGTGCTACATGTTTGTGAATCTGGCCTGCGCGGTGCAGACGCTGCTGAGGACACCCAACTGGAGGCCACGCTTTCGATATTACCACTGGTCGGTGCTGCTCCCTGCCCCCACCCCGCAGGCATCTCATCTCCAGCCCAACCTCCGCCTCACCCCCTCCTGGCCTGAGGATCCCAGACTTAAATGGGGGCTCCCGTCTTCTCCAGCATTTCTTGCCCGCTCGGCATGGGGAGGGCCCCACAGTCGCTCAGACTGCCACGCAGTCTAGCCGGTATTGACCAGTTCCCTCTCTCGCTGGAAAGTTCCACGTCGAGACGTGAGGTGGGAGCCTCAGCAGCACCCACGTTCGGGACCCACGTGGACAGGACAGCTCCTGGCACACCTCTCTAGTGGGTGCGGGGCAGCTTCTGGCCAGGCCACTCTGTGGGCTTCGGTCACCATTAGCCCCTGGGGCAGACCGGGCAGGGACGACCGTGCTTGTTCCACAAAAGGAAACAGCCTCAAACAGGCCCGGGGTGGCCCTGAAGGACAGTGGCGACGCTGGGCCAGAATCTGGCCCAGTGCGCTTGCTCTGGGGGCTTATTCCTGGGCATGCTCTTCCCCGGAGACCCTGTCTCCAGCCCCTGCCCGCCAACCCCCCCGGGCAGGGCAGGGGGCAGGCCTACGCCCTGGACAGGGCAGGGTGCTGACTGGGTGGGGCACGTCGGCCAGTGGAATCTCTTGGGGATGGTGGGGTGAGCCCCCCAGACCTGGCCGTCGCGTCCCGGCTCTCGCCTAGGCCCGGCCCCATCTAATCTTGCCACGTGGCACCTGTGACCACCCCAGAGCTCAGAGGCTGGTGTCCCTCCCCTTTCCAGGACACTCTCCTTCCTGGGCATGAGCCTCTGCCTGGCCCTCATGTTCATCTGCTCCTGGTACTACGCCCTCGTGGCCATGCTCATCGCTGGGCTCATCTACAAGTATATTGAGTACCGCGGGTGAGTGTGGGTGCTGGGAGATGGGGGGACGGGAAGGAGCAGGAGGGACATGTGGGGGGTAGGGAGGCGGAAGTGGGAGGGGAGAACTAGAGTGGCCGCAGCGGCAAGGAGGCTGGAGGCGGAGCAGCCGGAGGGCTGGGGAAGAAGCGAAGAAACGTAGTCCGGGCTTGGCCAGGTCAGGCGGCAGGAGACGCGCTGGCCTTTGGCCCCGAGACGCCTGGGGCGAGCGAGGCAGCGTGGGCATCTCCCCCTGCTGCCCCGGCCGTGGGCCCTCACCGCTGCCCCTTCCTGGCTCCCAGGGCCGAGAAGGAGTGGGGCGATGGGATCCGGGGCCTGTCCCTCAGCGCTGCTCGCTACGCCCTCTTGCGCCTCGAGGAAGGGCCGCCCCACACCAAGAACTGGAGGTCAGTGGTGGGGTGACGCTGGGGACTGGGTGGGGGTGGGGAGGGGGGCAGGGCCCGACCACCTCATTTGCTCTGCTTTTAAAAAAACACCTCCTTGTACACACAAGAACTGGGTGCAGGCCAGAGGTGTCGGGGGTGAGAGGATTCACCAGACACAGAGTGGGGAGCAGAACAGGCAGACTGATGAGGCACACTGCCGAGGGGGCAGCGGGTGAGACAGGAGCGGTCTGCCGCGCCATGGGGTCACCTCCGGGGCCGGGGATCGAACTCATGCTGAAGTGGCTGCGGACAGCTTCATAGTGCTGCGCTTTAATCCACTGCGCCACCAGGGAGGGCCCCCATTGGCTCTGTCTTGCTGAGGGGGCTCCTGCCACAGCGGGGTGCCTGTGGCCTCTGAGACTCAGCCTTCGCTGAGCCCCCTCACTCATCCCCACGTTCGCTTGGCCAAGACAGGGCCTGCTGCGTGGGACTGTCCTTTCTTTGCTAAACCGGGCGCCTGTTTTGGCCTGTTGCCCGCGAGACCCGGGCTTCGCTTCATGTGTCTGTGAATGTCCTGGCGTCCAGCACAGGGTCTAGCCTGCGCTCCGAGGATGCTGTTGATCTGATGGGTCGTTGGGTGGCTGGGGCGGCTCAGTGAACAAGGCAGTGAATGGCCGAACAGATGGGGAGATGGTGCGTGTGTGTCTGCATGGGGGGGCGCTGGGTGGGGAGATGGATGTGTGACTGGCTGGTGGTAGGTGGGTGTGTGGATAATTGAGTGAATAATACATGCGTAGGTAAATTAATATGGATATGACTGGATGACTGGAGGATAAAATAGATGGGTAGGTGGCTGAATGGATGGATGGATGAGTGAGCTGAGTGGAGGGATGGACGGGTGGGTGGCTGACCGCGGGGGCGGGTGGGTGGGTGTACAGATGGACGTGGAGGACAAGGCTGGGTGGGTTGAAATGCAAGGAAATGGATGGATGTTTCTGGATGTGGGTGGGAAGGGCAGTCTGGGTGGACTCGATGGTTGGGGGCCTCATCTGCATATAGGGGGTGGTGGCTGCTCGGTGGTGACCCTGCACTCTCTTTAGGCCACAGCTGTTGGTGCTGGTGCGTGTGGACCAGGATCAGAACGTGGTGCACCCACAGCTGCTCTCGTTGACCTCCCAGCTCAAGGCAGGGAAGGGACTAACCATTGTGGGCTCTGTCCTTGAGGGCACCTTCCTGGAAAACCATCCCCAGGCCCAGCGGGCAGAGGAGGTGAGCAGAGGCCTGGGGGTGGGGTGGGGGGACACAGGGTGAAGGAGTGGTCTGGGCCCTGCGCTTTCCTTCCACACCACCTTTGGGGTCAAAGGGATGCGGGCTTGTGTGTCCTTTTCCTTAGAAGAGGAGCCTCAGGGCCCTGGGAGTGAGCTCCTTAGAACCCAACGTGCAGAACCAGGGCCCACGCAAGTCAGGGCTCCTCATGGGTAAGGACATGGCGGTGTGGAGAGAGGGTCAGTCACTGGGAGCCCGAGACTCAAACCAGGACTGCTTGGGTCCTACTCCAGGCTTTTCCTGCCCAAGTGTAACTCTCGCCTGTCTTCACGTTCTTGGATTCTTCCCGTCGCCGCGCGCGGGGGCTCAGCAGGGCGGGCACCCACATCGGGCAAGGAAGCAAATGAGGCCCAGAGGGACAGCAGCTGGCTGGGAGCAGTCAGGACTCTGAGTCTGCGCCCTTGGCCAGGCTCTGCTGCCCCCGCCCCTGCCCTCGGCCACTCCACGGAGCAGTGTCCAGAGCCGTGTGGGCTGGGCAGCCAGTGTCCACGTACGAGGCACCGGCAGGGGTCTTTGACTGGTGGGTGGCAGGGGAAGAGGCTTCTGTCTGTGCTCAGGCCTCTCCTCCCAGGCTTTGGAAAAGAGGCTCAAGGGAGGTGAGGGGACGGGGTGGGCCCTCGACAGCCGTGACAGTTGCTCTTTGTCCCACGGGGCTGTGAGCGCCAGGCCGGAGGCTTCCCGGGTCAGTTTAGCTCCAAGGCTGTGGCTGACGACGTGTGGCTGAGGCCGCCAGCACTGGGCTAGGCCCGAATGAGGAGGTGAGCTGTGGGCCGCTAAGTCCCGGCCTCAAAGGCGTCCAGCCGGTCACGTGCGGCCCTGTGCGCCAGCTGGCAGGCACAGCGGCCTGGGCGCTGCGTTTGCAGCCTGGCAGCAGTGTGCCCAGCCTGCACCCAGGGTCACAGGACTCTACTTTTTCTCCTTTAAAAAGTTATATACTTCCAAACTGGTGTAGTATTGACTGGCAGTGCTATGTGACTTAGGGGTACAGGGCTCAGATACCTGTTACCACTCCGACCGCCAAAGCACGTCATCCTCCGTCAGTTCTTAAAAGAGGTAGCTGACCTGGTCCACATTTGACAGGTGAGAAAACGGGTTCAGAGAGGCTAGGTGATTTGCCCTACACCACACAGCCAGGAGGTGGCAGAGGGAAGCTGGGAGGGCCATCTGCTTGACCGCCAGCAGAGCTGAAGTATGCAGCTGAACGTTGGGGCGGAACCCCGCAGTGATACCCAGGAGCAGCAGAACCTTAAGTCGTAATTGCTCTGAGCCTCAATTTCCTTGTCTGAAAAGGAGACAAGGGCTCACCTCAGGCTGCAGAGTGAAAGCGCATTGAAAACAGGTCTCGTTATGCTAATGTTGAAAAACGTCAGAGCAGGTTGTCCAGTCTCGGGGAGCCCAGTTTCATCCTGGCCTGGGCATCTGCAGAGGGGACTTGGTGTCTGCGGCGGGTGTCATGGACAGCGGGAAGGAGGGGTGGAGAGCCCGTGGGGGACTCTGCGAGCCTGGCAGGTGGCCAGGGTGGGGTCTAGTCGCAAGAGCTCAGATGGGCTCACAATGGGCCACGGAAGATGGGGAGCTGAGCGAGGGTCTGGGGCAGCTGGGGGGGTCTGACACCTTCACAGCTGAGCTTCAGGAAGGGGGTGGGTGAGGGAGGGGAGCCGGGGAGTGGGGGCGCTGCAAAGGGGCCACGGGGGCCTGGGCCCGTTCTGACACCCCGCCCTGCAGTCCATACGGCGCCTGATGGAGGCAGAGAAGGTGAAAGGCTTCTGCCAGGTGGTGATCTCCTCCAACCTGCGTGACGGCGTGTCCCATCTGATCCAGTCGGGGGGCCTCGGGGGGCTGCAGCACAACACCGTGCTCGTTGGCTGGCCCCGCAACTGGCGGCAGAAGGAGGATCACCAGACCTGGAGGAACTTCATCGGTACCGTGAGGCCGCGGAGGTGGAGGGGTGCTCGGGGGCTGGGCCTGTGCTAGCCGGAGGACCCCCAGGGCAGCGGGAAGAGCTAGAGCTTCCTAGGTACGGAGGCCAGAGTCTAACTCTCAGCCCGGCCCTTCCCAGCTGTGTGACTGTGCGTGAGTGACTCGCCCTCTCTGAGCACCTTGGGAACAGTCGGTAAGAGCAGTGGCTGTCTTCTGCCTCGGTGCGCCGGACGCGTCGAGGCTTTCTCTAGGTTCCCCCTCTCAGCAGTCCTCACATTGCTCGCTCCATTTTACTGGTGTGGAACCACGGCACAGAGAGACTAAGGCATTTGCTGCGGGTCACACAGCTGGCTAACCCAGAGGCTGCTTCTGTCTCTTTCATAGGTAGATGCTAGTTGCGAGGTGGTGGAAGCTTAAATGAGGCCACGCACCGGAGCGTCCGTAATCATCAGCAAGGGCAGGTGGTGTTATTGCCAGTTGGCAGGTGGGGAAACTGAGGCCCAGAGAGGTTGTGGGGCTTTCCCCAGTCTGGACAACAAATAAGTTGAGCCAGGTAGCTGCTGCTTTTCTGGGTACTCAGCCCAAGGTCAAGGCCCGGAGGGCGGAGCTGGACCGGGACAGGACGCCCTGGCTGCTGCCCGGCGCCAGGGGGTCACCGTTTTGCCTCTGGCCCTCTCCAGAGCTGGTCCGGGAAACCACAGCTGGTCACCTGGCCCTCCTGGTCACCAAGAACGTCTCCATGTTCCCGGGGAACCCCGAGCGCTTCTCCGAGGGTAGCATCGACGTCTGGTGGATCGTGCATGATGGGGGGATGCTCATGCTGCTGCCTTTCCTGCTGCGGCACCACAAGGTGGGCGCGCATGGGGGAGCTCGGGGCGGGGGCGCCGTCCGGCCTTTCTGTGTCCTTCCTCCCTCGTGGGAAAGGACTCTGGTCCCCTCCCCCTTCTGCGACGTTAGGCACTGGTTGGTTTCACGTCCCCTTGAGTGCGCGCGGAGGACAGCAGTGCTCAAGCCAAGGGAGGGATGTTTCCGGGGACCCTCAGGCCTAAGAGGGAGGTCTTGTAGGGGGCTGCTGAGGCCGTGGACCCCAGATCAGCAAGGCTGTGTGGGAGGCGGGGCAAGGGCCAGGGCCAGGTCCTCTCCCAGCCCTCACTGCTGGGGCTGGGCCTCTGGCGCCCCTCCACCCCGGCAGGTCTGGCGGAAGTGCAAGATGCGCATCTTCACCGTGGCTCAGATGGACGACAACAGCATCCAGATGAAGAAGGACCTGACCACGTTTCTGTACCATCTGCGGATCACCGCAGAGGTGGAGGTCGTGGAGATGGTGAGTTGCCGGGAGCCAACCCCAGGGCTTTCAAGTCCCACCTGACCGACTTCCAGCATCTGTCCTGATTCCAGCACCGACACCCATCAGCATGTTACTGGATCCCTCACATTCTCCAAGGTCCATCTGTCTGTCCGTCCGTCCCTCCACCCCGCCATCCCACTCTTTCTCCTTTGTAAGAACAGCCCTGCCCGATGGCGCTCATGGTGTGCGTGGCTCGCAGTGGCAGAACCCGGGAAGGCAGACTTCAGAGTCCAGGCTCCCTGTGATGGCACTGCCCAGGGTCTCTCTGTTTGCCTCAGTTTACTTATCCACCCACGCAGCCCGCTCTGTACTCATTAATCAACCCAAGTAGCCGTTAATATATTCATTCACTCACCCACTTGCCCACTACCCATGGATGTGTTCATTCATCCCTTCGTTACTTGTAATTTCCCCCCTCTTCTCCATTCACCCAGGTAATTAATTAATCTGCTCATTCATTAATTCACCCATTCATCCACCTGGCTCCGTGCTGAGCTGGGAAGGGAGTGCTTTCAGGGAGAGCTGCCCTCTGCTCTACCCCCTCCTCCCACAACTCTTGGTTAAACTGGGTCACTGGATAGGGAAGCCCGAGGCTGCTGGCTGCTGGCTGCTGTCGGCTGTCTGAGGGAAGGGGGTCTGTCTGCCCCCTCCTCTTGGCCTTACACCTGAGCTGAGAGCGTCTGCTTTCCTCCCTCACTCCCAACCCCACCCACCCCCATCCCTGCCTGCCCACAGCATGAGAGCGACATATCGGCTTACACCTACGAGAAGACACTGGTGATGGAGCAGCGTTCCCAGATCCTCAAACAGATGCATTTAACCAAGAATGAGCGGGAGCGGGAGGTGAGGTTGCCCAGGCCGGGCTCTGAAAGCCGCCAGCTGCTGCCTGCGCAGGTTGGGATGGCCCAGGACCGACCCTCCGGCCGCTGGTGCTGCCGCCTTCACCACACAGCACCACTCAAGGCCCTGAGCCCCAGCCAACCTCCTGACTGAGCTCCCAGTGGTGGGGTACGGTGGGGTACACTCCACCGCTGCGCCTGCCAAGTCTCCCAGGCTCCCTGTAGAGGGGCCTTGTCATGGCGACAGCCTTTTCCTCTGTATGTGACCTCTGGGACCCACGGGAGGAGAGGGGGTGATGACTTCTCAGGGGCTGCCAGTGTAGGGGACGAGGGATCAGGGGACCAGGGGACAGCTCCCCAGAGAGTGGGTAGCAGGTGGGTATTTTGGGATATGTATCTGGTGGCGGGAGTTGGGAAAAACCTCTTTGGGTGCCTTGGCTTTGAGGGGTAATGATGATAAGCCCCCGTGGGGTATTCCGTCAGGTCCCCCAAGTGTGGGTAATGGGGAACCCTAGTCCCTGGGATACGAACGAAGACTCAACCTAGGGGTTGGCCCTTCGGGGAAGTGGGCAGTGGTGGCCTGGGCTGGGGACAGTAGAGCTCTCGGGTGAGAGGCTGCCCAGGGAGCTGGTGGGGGATTCTACAGGCGAGGGTGGCGGACCTTGGGCGAAGGGGTCTCCCAGGTGCAGCTAGTATGTTTCCCAGGTTGATGGACACTTAGGGGGATAAGTGATGGGTACCTCTGTGAGCTGGGGCGGATGGACCCTGCAAGGATGTTTACCAGCATATCAATAGGGATAAAGCCTACAGCGTGTGTGTGTGTGTGTGTGTGTGTGTGTGTGTGTGTGTGTGTGTGTGCTGACCAGCCTGACCTGGCACCAGCCCACCCTGCTAAGCCAGAGCTGCAGGGCAGGCGTTAACCCTTTGTTTGCTGGATGGGAGGAGGGTCAGGGATTCTGGAGAGGAGTTGGGCTGGCTCAGTGAGCGACAGCAGCTGTGTGGGGTGGAATCCAGCGATGTGTTCACAGCTCCCGAGCGCGTGCACCCTGGCCGCAGTCCGCTCTGGCCGTGGCTCCCAGTAGAGCTGGTGCCCACCTGTGTCACTCCTAGATCCAGAGTATCACAGATGAGTCTCGTGGCTCAATCCGGAGAAAGAACCCAGCCAACACCCGGCTTCGCCTCAACGTCCCAGAGGAGATGGCTGGGGACAGCGAGGAGAAGCCAGAGGAGGAGGTGGGCGCTGGGCTAGTGGACCCTGGCTAGCGGGGGCAGAACCTTTGGCTGCCAGAGGGGTCACTCGCTGTCCCTCCTTTCATCCTGTAGGTGCAGCTGATCCATGACCAGAGTGCTCCCGGTTGCCCCAGCAGCTCACCTTCTCCCGGGGAGGAGCCTGAGGGGGAGGGCGAGGCAGACCCTGAGAAGGTGCATCTCACCTGGACCAAGGACAAGTCGGTGGCAGAGAAGAACAAGGGTCCCAGCCCCGTCTCCTCCGAGGGCATCAAAGAATTCTTCAGCATGAAGCCGTACGAGCCTGGGGGCTGAGGGCAGGGGTCTGGGTGAGCTGACAAGGTCTCTGCTCCTGCGGCAGAGCAAACGCAGAGAGGGTCCGGGCTGGCGGTTGGAAGACGAAGCCCAGGCCTTGTCTTGGCTTCCCCACCTGCACCTGGGGGGCTGGGCCTGGTGGCTGAGGTCAGGCCTCGCAGGTGGAGGTGTGCAGAGAAGGCTGGGGGCTGGGAGGCCCGGGCTGTGTGCCTCAGTGTGGATGGTGGATGACCGCAGCTGAGCGGGGCAGGGCGCTCTTTTTTTCCTGACCCCTCTCTTTTTCTTCCTCTTTGCTTCTCTTGTGTTTCCTGAAGGGAGTGGGAGAACTTGTAAGTGCTTCCGAATTTTTTTGTTCTCTTTTCTGAGCTGGCCAGGGCACCGGTCTCTTCACTGTATCTCGAACCCTCAAGCCGTAGCCCTGACCTCTGGGGTCTCCGAATGCGCAGTGTGGAGAGGTCTGGGGCTCCTGGTTTGCAAGGACCAGGTCCCACCAGGCCAGGTGGGCAGGGGCTGGGAGGGCCACTGGCCCCAGCTCCCTCCCGGCAGCTCAGCCCCTCCCGCTGGCCTCCTCCCCGCAGGAACCAGTCTAACGTGAGGCGCATGCACACGGCGGTGCGGTTGAACGAGGTCATTGTGAATAAATCCCAGGACGCCAAGCTCGTTTTGCTCAACATGCCGGGGCCTCCCCGAAACCGCAACGGTGACGAAAATTGTATCCTGCCCCCAAGTCTGGGGGTGGGGGCAGGGAGGCGGGCGCCCGGGGCCTGGGGCTCCGGCCTGGGGAGGGAGAGCTGAACCGGCCCTGCCACAGGATCGGCTCTCGTGCGGGGGGCGCGAGCCCGGTGGGCCCGGCCGCCGGGCGCGGGCCTGGTCTTTCTCCTTGACGCGCCCAGACATGGAGTTCCTCGAGGTCCTCACCGAGCACCTGGACCGGGTGATGCTGGTCCGCGGCGGCGGCCGCGAGGTCATCACCATCTACTCCTGAGAGCCAGGACCTGCCCCCAGGGCCCGAGCGCGCCCGGCCCGTGGCCCCGCGGCTCG